ACCTATAATATTATACATAATGCATATTTGCTTATATACATATATATATATGCTTGTATATATAATATATATTACATACAACTGATAATATATGTAATATATAGTGTATATAATGCATTGCGTTTATATATATATATAGCCTGATCGGCCTGACGTGCAGAAGGCTAATAATACACATAATACATAATATAGATATATGCTACATATAATATATATAATAGATATAATAAATAATAGATATAATAGAATAATATATATAATATATAATATATATACAGCCTGATCAGCCTGACGTGCAAAGGTTTTATTCTCCACGAAATATCGTCGGGGCCGCACAAAATGCGGATGCGCCTTTCTATCATCATCGGCAGTAAATAAATAAATAAATAAATAAATAAATAAATAAATAATAAATGAATAATAATAAATGAATAATAATGATATATTGTTTAAGAAGAAGCGTAAGTCAAACACACCTCAGCGATATCTTATGAAAATAAAAATATTATTTAAATAAAAAAAACAGACATGCATGCATGCATAGATAGATAGATATATGCATGCATGCATGCATAGACAGATAGATATATGCATGCATGTATGCATGCACAGATAGATATATCTATGCATGCATGCATAGATAGATAGATAAATATATCTATGCATGCATGCATAGATAGACATACGCATGCATACATACATACATACATACATACATACACACATAGGTATATGCATACATCTATGCATGCATGCATAGATGCATGCATAGATGCATGCATGCATAGATGCATGCATTCATGCATGCATGCATATATGAAGAGAAGAAGCAAGTCTTCAGTGTAATTGTTTGTCGTTTAAACGTCTCTGTCTCTGTGTTAATATTCTTACGCCCTTTGTCGATGTCTTTCTTCTTTTTGGGGCTTTCTTAATTCCATTTCGATGATTTTTCTTGTTCTGTATATACACCGCAAAAACAATAAGAGCTGCATATACACCCCGTCTTCATGAGTGGTCCACTGGTCACCTTTAAAAGGATATTCAAGGCCCTGAATTGCTGCAATATATATACCATTAAAATGCATATTTAAACTCTTCTGCTAAAGCTGCTGCTGTCAAAACAAACTGCAGATATACAGCAGCAGATAAAGCCCTCAACAGTTATCCAGTAAATATATAAACCCTATAAACCTATGAGGGAGTAAAAACAATAAAAGATATACTAGGGGTAGCAAAAAATAACACGCTCTTGCTGCTGCTGCTGCTGTTGCTGCAGCTGTTGCTGCTGCTGCTGCTGCTGCTGCTTGCCTGGTTGTGGTTTGTATGATTCTTTGACTTCGCCATCTTCGCAGTGCTACGAGCAGCAGCAAAACGAAAAGGACGTAAAAGAACAAAAAGAAGAAAATTCAAAACAACAAACTGTCAAAACCCAAACCCTAAACCCTAAACCCTAAACCCTAAACCCTCAGTCGTGGGGCTGTGGGGCGGCGGCTGTTCTAAGGGTTTATGAAGCCACGCCTCAATAAATACATTATTTCATCTCTTTTATTGCATTATTATATTCTTTTTATCAATAATATTAATTATAATATTAATTTAATTAAAATATAACTCAAAAAATGCTGCTGAGATATATACACACATCTCCTACCTGCTGCGCCCGGAGTTGTCTGCAGGAAGTGCAGCCAAAAATACAAATAAATTCATCGAACTGCAATTAAAATAAATAAAATTAAATAAATTTAATTATTTATTTAATTATTTAATTATTTAAATCCTTTTTCATGTTAATTCAAACACATTTATGTATATACACTCAATTCCTCCGAGCCCGCTGACCCTATAGAGAGCTGGATCTACGCTCAACACCAGCGACAGCAGTACTAAAAAAAATAATAAATAATAATAATAATACTAATATTATTATTACTATTATTTACAGTTATATTTTATTTAATTTAAATATTATTGTGAGAAGTTTAACTAAATAAAATTAATTTCTGAGACCCTAGCGGGTCTTTCTTTGTTTTTACCCGCAGCAAGTATTAAATAAAATACATCAATTTAACTTTACTTTAAATGGATAAATAAATCTGTACATACAATATATATATATACACACAACTATATACATATATATGCTGAATGATACATATATATATATATATGTATATATATATATATATGTATATATATATATATATATATATGTATATATATATTCTGAGCTCTGTTTTCTATCTTATATATATGTTATAGACAACATACATATATACATATATACATATATATATTAAATCTATAAATAGACAATGTATATATATATATATATTTACTTATTTATATATTTATATATATTTATATGCATATTAGACAGCGCGCTTTCACCAACCCAAAATAATATTAAAAATTTGGTTGAGAGGCAATTTAAATAAACAAAACAAAGAAGTGCTGCACTCAAACTCAATAAAAGATTTGCTGCTGCTGCTGCTACTGCTGCTGCTGCCTTGCTGCTGTTGTTGCTGCTGCTGCCTTGCTGCTGCTGCAGAGGAGAAGGGCACTCACTGCCACACCTGCAGCAGCAGCAGCAGCAGCAGCAGCAGCAGCTCCTGCAGCAGCAGCAGCAGCACGTGAGGTTTTTAACATCATTCTTCTTCTTCTTCAGGATCGATTGGCTCTCCGTTTTCATCGCACTGAATAACTTCTTTAACCTGCAGCAGCAGCAGCAGCAGCAGCAGCAGCAAAGGAAGCAGCAACAAGAAACCCTTCACCCTCCGCTGCTGTCTGCTGCGTTGTGCAGACTCAACAAAAACCCTAAAGCAGACACCAACCACTGGCTTAGGGTTTAGGGTTTAGGGTTTAGGGTTTAGGGTTAAGGCAGACCTCTGGGTACTGTTATTAAAGGCTTAGGGTTTAGGGTTTAGGGTTTGGGTATACCTCTGGGTAGTGCTATAAAAGGCCTAGGGTTTAGGGTTTAGGGTTTAGG